CCCACAACGACACGACACGGCGCGCTCTGCCCGCGTGCAGGGCACGGCACGGCATACTTTCAAACGTAACAGGACAAGCATAGCACGGCACGGCTCGCGGGCACGGCACGGCAGGGCACATGTTCTGCACTCCCGAAACCCAACACAGCACGGCACAGCGCGGCAAGGCACGCGGGCACGGCATAGCATTTTAAAAAATCGAACACGGTGCGCCACGGCACGCGGGCACTGCACGGCAGAATGCTCGCACACTTGAAAATTATGGTTGCCGAGCTGACTATAAGGCAAGCGGGGGCATTCCGCATATCTCCGCAGTCCTCCTCGAGCCCCGCGAGTTTGATCAAGCGCGCCCGCCGCCCGGAACCCCAATGGCTCTTCACGCGGCAGTGGAGCGCGGGATCCACGGCCAGCAGGAGCTCCCACTTGGTCGCCCCAAGCCCCGGCCAGAATGGCCCTCGTAGCCTCCGAGCGCCAGCATCCAGGGAAAGCACTTCCTCCCCGCGCGCCGCCCAGGGACCAGCCGCAGCCGCTCAGGTCAACCACCCCCCCTGGCCAGGAAAGCTGCGTTGCCCATGCTTTCGGATGTCGGCCGATCATACAAGGAGAAGCCGCAAGTCGCCAGGTGCCGCTCCATCACCATTCTCGCAAGTCCCTTCGCGCCGAAAGTCCGCCGGGTTCGTTTCGCCCGGCGCCTCGCGAACCTCGATCTCCTTATCCACCCTCTGTTGCACCCACGCGAGCATCGCGCTGAGGTTCTGGATGCGATCGACACCCCTGCGACCATACATCTCCCTTCCGGCGATGCTATCAGCGTGGCTCACAGGGAGCAGATCCGCACCCAAATCCTTGCATGCACTTGCACAACGAGCACACACTGAAGGCAGCAGTCGCCCCTGTCACGCCCGCCGTGAACTCCTCCTCGCGGCTGGAGAGCTCGGCCCCCCCCCTGGGCGCCGACTAAACTTTCGAAGAGGAGACGCACCTGAAAAACGAAGACGGAGCTAGCACCCATGCGATCCTCGATGCCCCCAGCCCAATCTGAGTCGCAGTTGACGTCGACACCGTTGTCGTCGCGGCGCTGCTCGGCAAAGCTCTGAATACCTGGGCCCGCCCTTGAGATACAATACAACTCGTCTGAACCGCGCCAGTCCTCCGATCGCGGGCACAGCCACGCGATGGCAACACATGCGCGCGGGGCGTCTGGGGCCAGGAAGGCGAGCCCCCCGCGCGCAAACACCCGCGCACCGTGGCCCCCAACTAGCCCTGCATCGGAGCGTCGTCATAGTAGACCATACACTTCTCAGCAGGCGGTGCCACCGCCTTGGAACTGGACCGATCAAGACCGAGCTGGTGCGCGATTATCTCGGCACGTCGCAGGCCAGGCTCCATCGCAACAAACGGGCGCCGACAACCCTCAACGTCGCACAAACGGACGCCCGTTGAGTCCCCGCGCGCGCTCGTCGCCCTCTAAGACGAAGTCGTCACCACGCACGACCCCTAACGCCGAGCCATCGGCATCGGCACAGGGCACAGGGGCACTCTGTCCCGGGCGCGAAACCTGCCGGCCCAAGCCAGTCCTGGCGGCGCTCCCCCGAGCCAGCTGCAGCGCTTATCATGCCGCGCATCACGTGGAGCAGGAGGCTATGCCCACCCCCACTGCCCTCGCCGTCATTCGCCGGGGCGCGGATGGACAGCCGCCTCTCGGACGTCGGGCGGAAGTGAGCCCCAGAGATTTTCTAGATCATTCCCTTCCTTTTCTTCTTCGAAGCAGCCGCCCTAGCGCTCGGCGCCGGTCGCGGCCCCGCCCGGCGCCATCTCGACGCGCCCCCACGGCGGCGCGCCCGCGAAGGCCTCCTCGAGCCAATGATTCTGCCGCGCGAACTCCATCGACCACAGCTGCGAACTCACATTCACGTTGGCCCTATCACCTGCGTTCACATCGAACCGCCTTGCGTCGATGACCCGCGGCCCCCGCGCCTCCGAGGCGCCGACCTCCTTGCAGACCGGAAGGCAACGAAAGATTTCAATATCACTCCTGCACGCCGCCGCCGCCAGATCTGGAAGCAACTGCGCGCCAGCGACGCGGTCGTAGATGCGCCGCGCATTCTCGGGCAGGCGCAACATCTCGCGCGACTCGGCGTCGACCGCGCAGCCCGCGCCCAATCCGTCGACGGAGGTGGCCGCGCCGATGCGAGCGCAGGCGGGCCGTTGGCCTCGCGGGCCGCGGCACCGCCCAGCAAGCGGCGGCGCCGGCGGCGCCCGCCGCCCCGACTTCGGCACTGGAATTCCCCGAGCCCCGTCGCCGCGCAGAGCGATCTGGAGGGCCAGCCCTTTCAACCCTGGACCACCATGTCCTTCTTGCCGCGACCAGGATGTCAAGCTGGGACGGTCTGGCCGGCCTCGCACCAGTCGTTGGCCACTTGGAGTTCGCTGAGACCCTGGATGGCCTCGGCGCCCCATGATCTCGCCGCGCACGGCGCCTCGCAAACGAAGCGGCGGCATTCGCCCCCCCCGCCCGCTGTGCACCATGGCGCACGCGTCCGCGCACACGAGCGCCACCCGCGCAAAGTCGCCGACGGTCTCCTCCTCGGCCTGGCCAGAGCTCAGGAAGCCAGTCCACACGGTGCCGCGAAGCGAGCCAATGAGAGACAAGGGCTTCTTCTACCCGCGCGGTCGGCGCATCGCCTCCCCACGCTGCGCCCGCGCTTTCAGGCCTCACCTGGCGCCAGGGCCCAACGAGACGCCGGGCGCCAACCCCAACTCGAAGGCGCGGGCTAGGATTTCGCCGCGCCAGATGGCCTCGAAGACACCGGGCTCGCCGCCCCTGCTGATTACACAGCGTTCGATCTCGATGCCGCCGACCTTGGGCAGGTCGGCGTCGGCGCCCGTCACGAAGGGGCCCAGGTCCTCCATCCTCGCGACGTCGCCACCGTCCTGGTAGGATGCTGTCATCGCGGCGCAGCGGCCGGCGCTCCTGCAAGCCCCACCTGCGCGGGCTCGGGCGAGCCCGACGCCGCCACCAGAACTGGCGTCGCAGGGGCTGCCTGCCCAGCGGGTGCATCGCCCCCTCGGCGCCTCCTAGCAGACACGGCGCCAAGTCAGCGTTAGCAGCCACCGCCTGCTCCACGCCAGCTGAGACGCCTCGGAGCGGACAACTGCGGGCTTGGTTCCCCTGGCAGCCCGGCAGCGCCTGCAGTTGCTAGCGCGCCCGCAAGCGCCCCCCGCCACCAGCCTGAACTCGAACTCCTAGCGGACGCAGAGACGCTCCAGGCCTAACTACGACCAGCCCGCCACTGGCGGAGGCTGCCTGTCCGCAGGAACGATCGGCGCAGCTGCCACGAACGGCAGGACGGTCTCTGCATCGCCACCAGCCTGGTGGGGCCCCAGCCATGGGAGCCCCCTGCACGCCTCCGCGAAGCTCTCGTCGCCTCACTGCTCCTCTGGGTGCCCCCGATGGGCGATGGCCACGAAGTAGCCAATCATGACGAGGACGATGACCTCGTCCGCGCGGTCGACAAGCCCCACGTACATGCCCGCATAGAAGCGCATGTCAGGTTTCCGATCGCGCTCGCCGTCAGCCACCGCGAAGAGCATAACCACCACCCCGGGATCCAGCAGACGCCCGCGGCAGGGCCGACCCTTCCACCTCTCGAACGCCGCCCTGCCGCCCGACCGCCGGGAGCGATCCAGCAGATGCGACGCGTAAGGAAGTTCGCAGACCATGAAAAGATCAGCTGCCTGGAGCATATCCCCGCGCAGCTCCGCCGCTGCGTAGACCAGGGACCTTCGCGAGACTCTGGGCATCCCAGATCTCCTTCTCGACGTAGCCGTTCGTCTTGGAGTCGCCGACAGGACTCTCCTCTGGCGTCGCCGCGATCTGCCAGCCCGTCCGGCGGACCTCTGAAACTGCCGCTCTCGAGCGCCAGGAGGCCGCACTCACCGCCGGACTTGAAGACGAGCCTGGACTGCCCAGCATAGGCAACGACCTGCGCGACGATCTCGGCCGAGCACTCGCGCAAGGCGCCCCCGTTTTGGGCCACGGGCGAGCCCGCTCATCGAGCGCCTGCTGGCGGCAGCCCGACCGCGATGATGACGAACGGGGCCGCCCCACTCTCCAACTGGACGATCTCGCTTTTCTCGCCGAAGAAGCCGCGAACTGCGTGGGTCACCAAGACCTCGCCATCAACGTCGAGGACCTGGCGCTGGCCTGCCCTGCCATGACCAACCACGCAGTAACTGCGCCACGTGAGACGTGGGAAGTGGCGTGCTCGGCCGCCACTTCTGGCGTCGGCCCCATCGTAGCGCTAGAAGCCAGTGTCGTCCAAAATCCGAGTGGCCATGCTTTGGGGCGCCATCATCGCCCGAATTGCGTCGAGGAAACTCAGGCGCACCAAGTGGAGGCGGTGCCGTCGAGGAAGATGCTGCCGCGACGACTCCAACAAAATCTCGCGCGCGGTCCGAAAACGACCCATCCAAGAGAGGCGCTGAAGGTTACTGCGCCACCCTGCAGGACACTTCGTTCGCACTGACGATCAGTCTCAGGGCCGAGCCGGCCCGGCGCCCCCTTGCCACGTGGACACAGTCGCCAATATCTCGAACAGCTTGTTCACACGCTCGATCCGGACATTCGCGCCAATCTGCGGGTCGGCTGCCATCATACCCGTTCACTTGTCCACACGCAGCTGAGAATAAGATCAAGAAAGTCATAACTCACGAAATCTGAGCCAACTTCCAAGAAACTTCTGAAAACAAACGCGGGCCAATGTCCGACGCTCACGCTGGAGGGGCGAACGTGCGCAAGAAACTAGGCCAGTTTTCTGGCAAGTTGCTTACGATACGCTTGCCCAGATTTTCGGGAGGAGGTTTCTGAATCATTCTCGGGGGGGGACGCAAGTGGGGGATATCAAAGAGTAGGGTAGAGAATCAGCTCACGTAGCTGATATTTCCAACGCCACCCGGCACCAGGAGGCGCCCATGCATCGAGGAATGGGCCCGGCGGCGGGGCCGAAACCAGCTGCACGCAGCAGATTTCGTTGACCCCCCGTCCGTTCGGCCCGACATTCGTTCGACCGTAGAGGTGGACGTCGAGACCCTTGTTGCTTATCTCTGCCACGCTCAGCAAGGGCTTGCGGACGTCGCACACATGGAACTACATGCCCACTTGCTGGCCTGATTCGCCGACAAGATGGTAGGCACCCTCGCCGAAGTCCACAACGCCCGCACTGCCCTTGCTTGCTGGCACGCATTCGATGCCAGCTCTCGACTCTGGCCGCGCAAAAGTCCCCAGGCCAGACTGCGACATCCGCTCCCGAGCCCGTGCACACACGTACCCGACAGACCGCGTCGTAATTGTTGAGCTCCTCTCGGTGTCTGCGCTCCACGGCGCACAAATATAGTGAGTAGAGCTGCTGCGCCGAAGCCACCGGTGTAGCCGTTTCTGAACTGGGCGTGGCTGTGGAGGTGGTGCTGGAGGGGGCGGTTCCTGCATGCCTTGGTGCTGTTGCAGCTGCTCGCCGACCTGTCCGATCTGTCCCCGGTTGCCCTGTTGGGCTCGGGCTGCGCGCAGCTTCCAGCACTGCGCCCTCTCGCGACCCCAGGTGCCGCAGTAGTCACGCCGCGCCCTCCTCCGAACTTGCCACTCTTCCGACTCCTGGAACTTGCCCCTGCCAGACATTTGCTTCTCTTGCCGCCGTCGACCTTGCCTTTGCCGCGGCCTTGTCTGTCAGATCGCCCTTGGCACCAGCACTGTTGTCGAGCGCGGCCGGGCTGCCCGCAGATGTCGCCGCAAGTCTTTAGCCCGTCCACTGCCCCGACGTCTATTGGCGCGCTGCCCTGGATCAAGCACCTCTCAGTCCTGAAGACCTTCGATGTCCCATCCCTGATCTTCCCATCTGTGTCAAACCAACCCGAGTTCATGATCAGGTTCCTCAACATCTCGCCCTGCCTGAAAATCTGGCTCACGATTCCGATCCGCAAATTTTCATACGCCTCCTTGTCCGCAACATACTCGTACTGACGAAAGACCTTCTCGAACCTCCCGAGCTCGTTCGGGAGGTGGTCCGAATCGAAACCGAAGTTGAGGATCTGCTGGTAGAGGCCCGTCGTCCTCGTCACCACCTTGACCTCGTGAAGGTCTGCCAGCTGCCTCTATGGAAGAAGACCCTGCCCACGACCAGCAAGAGCTACCGTGCCAGAAGCCTTCCTCTCGAGCCACAGTGCCAAGATGTAGTACAACGGATTGTTCACGTACCTGTCCTTATCTCGTTCGAGGACCGCGTTCGCAGCGTTATCCGCCGTCTTCGCCTCACCCATGAGGTACAGCAGTTGGTCCGATATCGCGCTCGCGCAGGCGCGGGTCATCATGTTCCACTCATGCCTGTCCTCGTCCTTGCCGTTGAAGCCCTTCGGCCTGTCTGTCAGCCTCGTGTCGGCCACCTCTCGCGCCGGTGGTCGCGCTGGCGGCACTGCCGCGATCGCTGCCTGCTGTCGCTGCTGATTAAGAGCGCCTCTGAGCTACAGGGTGGCGTCCCGAGCTCCTCCATTATCTGCTCCAATACTGCCACGCGCTGCTCCGTCATCCTCGAAGCCTCTGCTCTTCACGACTTCGAGCCACTGACCCAAAGGGCCCCGGCAGCGCCGCTAGAAGGCAAAGCGCAGGGCCCCCCTGGCCAGGCGACCCCACGCGGAGCTGGCTGGCGCCGATTTCTCGGCTCGTTCACCAGCTCTGCGCCTCCATCTCTAGCAGGCGCCGCGCCTGCCGCCGCGGCGGGGGGCCCACCGGCTCTTGCTACCGTGGAACGTTTTGCCGCGTCGGCCATGGGGCAGTCGCAGGCAACTCGCAGATCCTTACAGTCCTAGAGCGCAGGCACGGCACGGCACGGCACGCGGGCACGGCACGGCACAGTCTGCGCACCTTGGAGACCAAGCACGGCATGGCACGGCACGAGGGCACAGCACGGCCGGCACCACTCTGCAGTCTGAAAACAAGAGAGCACCCTTCCATTGTGAGCACCGCTGTCGCATTCTAGAGCGCTGGCACGGCATGGCACGCGGGCGCGGCACGGCACGGCGAGGCACACGGGCGGCACACTTCTCGCACTGCGACATGAAAACACAGCACAGCACTGCATGGCACGCGGGCACCGAACGGCACTGCACGGCACGCGGGCGGCACGTTTGTTCGCTCTAGAAACGGAGCATGGCAGGGCACGGCACGACACGCGGGCACGGCACGGCGCGGCACGGCACGCGGACGCTACATGTCTCGCACTCCAGAAGCGAAGCACGGTACGCTGGCACGTCACGCGGGCACGGCACAGCATGAGGGCGTCCGATGTTTCCTAATCTGGCAACGAGAATAACATTATGGTATACCCTGCGCATACGGCACCGGCACGGCAAGCGTGCACGGCACGATATGTCGTGAGAGCGGTACATCTCATTCCAGATTTCAGAACCGCCTTCCCCAATAAACTTGAAGCCCCTGACAGCATCCGCTGTTAAGGGAAACAGCTACGACTGAGAAGCAGATTCGGCTAAGACACCTGGTCCATTTTAAAGGCGAGCCCCTTCACAGGCGCTCACCCAGCGTTGCGCGTGCAACCCCACAAGTGCGCACGGAACAAGATACCGACCGAGCTTCCCAGAAGCCTCCCAGGAACAGGCTTGACAGCCGATCAAGCAACGCTGGCCTCTCCATCGTCGGCGCTGCAGAATCAGAACCAACCGGCAATGTTCGCTGTTCGGGCCGGGAAGGGTATGCTCCAGCTGATCCTGGGCCACTGGCAGCCCTGGAGGGGCACGACCACCACAGCACCGCCAGGACACATCCATCCCCACGGAGTCTTCAGCCCTGCCCTGGGCCCCCGAGGAGCGGTGGGCGTGGATGCGCTCCCGCCGCCCGGGGCCGGCAGATGTTCACGTCCACCGCCCTGCGCGGCCCCCGGGCGCGACTCCAGACATGTGGGTATAGGTGCACCCTGGCGTTGGCACCACTGGCAAAACCACAAACTTTCTGAGTTATGCGCGGAGCTTCCTGGACTGGCGCTGGCACACCTTCCCACATGCTCGGAGCACGTCGGAGCCGGCGCTCGAGGCACCGCTATGGGTGCGGGGAGAGGGGGGTCCAGCGCCGACGCAGGAAATCCACGTCGAACTCCGAAAGTGCATGCCCATGCCGTCGTCTGCTCTTCGGCCCACGGCGCCGCCTGCCCCGCGCCACACCCCACGAGACCTCCACGGCGGACATGCCCGCTGCCGGACCGTCTGCCGCCTCGGGGACGGCGCCCGCCCGACCTTCCACAGCGAGGCTGCCGCGGGCCGCCGCGGGTATCGGGGCGAACTGGCGCGCGGCGCCCGCCGGGACGTCGGGCTGCTGCGGCGCCTGGCCGCGGGGCGGCGGGTCCATGGCTCCCCGCGGTGGCCCGGCCGGCGGCCCGGCCCGCGGCGGTGGCCCACAGCCGGGAGGCGCCTCGGAGCGCCGCGGTCGGCGGCAAGGAAGCCGCCAGGTCCAGGCGACGCCAAAGCGCCCCTGGGGAAGGGGTCGAGGTCCCCAGGGGGGGGCCATGTCACGAAACGGCAGCTTTCCCTTTTTTAAGTCTGGGCCTCCTGGGAAAATATCTGTCGGACCCCAGGGGGTCGTCAAGGCACATCCCGTGACGGAAACGGGCACCCGACGGGATGAAAAAACACAACATCGGAGGTCTGGGAAGGAAGGGGCGACGAGCCTAGTATCCACAGTAGACCCGCACGATTGTCTTGAGAAGAGCTGGGGGCGCGTTGTTCATCGGTCTTTACTTCAGTGAACGCCCCAGAACTCGAGCTATTCCATGGGTCAATCACGGAAAAAGAAATTGCTTGTTGGCCACCTGCTCCTAGGACATATTAGTGCTTGATGTGCCTACTGCAGCTTCAGACTGGAAGAGACAACCACCAATGTTCGCCTGAATGATGAATCCTGGTGCCTCCGAAACTTTGGACGCGCCCTGCACCAACAGGGGAAGGGGCGCGGGGGAGGAAGGGGAGGGGAAGGGAAGGTGCACCAGACAGAGGTGAAGGGGGAGGCGAAGGAGGCAGAGGGCGCAGGAGAACGACAGCGACGACGACGACGACGACGACGACGACGACGACGACGACGACGACGACGACGACGGGGAGCCGCAGCGGCAGCAGCGGCGCGAGGAGCGGGGGCGGGAGCGGGAGCGGGAGCGGGAGCGGGAGCCAGGCCGGGGGGTCGGAGCAAGAGCGGGGCAGGGGAGGAGAGTCTGCAGCAGCAGGGAGGTGCAGGCGCTGGCGCAGCGGCAGCAGGGGGAGGAGAGGGGGGACTCGCGTGCGGAGACACGCTGAGGCTGGCCCCCCACACGCGGCGGGAGCTGCCGCTGGGACGCCGGGAGGGACGTCGGCGGGGTCCTCCTCCTGCTCCTCGCAGATCGGCGGCCCACAGGGGATGAAGAAGTCCTGGCGTCCACATTCTCTCCCCCTCCGCTCCGCTCTCCACAACGAGCGAATATGACGACAACTGTCCTCTCTCTCTCTCTCTCTCTCTCCACTGGTATGTTGTTCCTTTGTATTGGGCGCCTCTCCCGCAGATTGCCTCTCGACGCACTGGATTCCATTCCGAGAACGCCTTCTCCACCGGACCGTTCTCTGCCCCTCAACAGCCGTGCTCACGCTGCAGCGTTTGCCACAATTCAAAAATCGGTGCGTTGCTCCCGTCGCTCAGAGTGGAGCTCTCGCCCGAGCGCGGGCCACATCTCTGGATCCGACCATTTCCTCCCAGTTGCCGTCCCCCTCCGTTCCCCGCCTCCCCCTTCCCTTGACCGTACTGCTCCTCCGGTTCCTCCTCGACCTCCACCTCCACCTCCACCACCCCTACCCGCCTTCTCTTTCTCGTCCTCATCCTCCTCATCATCATCCTCCTCGCCACACGTCCCGATTGCACTACAAACGATAGATCAACTCAAGTAGCTGTCACTCGGGATTCAAGATCCTCTAGGGCAACCCGTTCGGAGGATAGAAGTGGGCGTCGCTCCTCTCAGCGCTATATTTTTGGGAACACGCGAGTGGCGACAGGATACCCACACAACTCTTTCGGGGGAAGTACCCGTCGCGCTGGTCTGGTTGCCAAACGGAGGCTGCCCACACCAGTGCAGACTTGGAGCTTGGTGACAGGCGCTGGGCGCCCAGCATCGCCAACCCCTCGATTATGTATAGCTTCACAGGGCGGCCGCCAGACCATCGCCCACACACGATCGCGCGGTGAAGCTGGCCGCGGTGGCCGAAATCGCACGTAGCCCCGCCGCGCCTTCAAGAATATAGGCTATACTCTTGGCTGCGAAGCCCGAACTCGCCCCAGAATTGCCAGAATGACGCCCTTTTGCCGAGGCCCTAGCGAACGAGCGAGCGGCTCAGACGGCTGCCGCTGCTGTGGAGTGCACGCACGACCAACCGATCGGTGACTGTCACGGACTCCGTAGCGCCGTGGCGCTTCCCACTTTCTGCGGGCCCAATGTTCGGACAACAAATAAAGGAACCCAGCAAAACAGACGCATCAACATAATGAACGGAGCCACATGGCCAGTCCACCCTGTGGCGACGGCTCTAGACAGCGGGGAGACTCGAGGTGGCAGTTCTGCCCTCGCCCACGCGCCTAACAAACGCAAACCCCCGCTGAGCTGAAGACGGAGGCGCAGGGTGAAGTATGGGAGTCGTACCAATAAATCATTTGCGATACCTTTTCGGCTCGCCGCCTGGCCAAAGATCCTCAAGGTAATCCATGGTGCTCCATGGTACTCCGTGGTGCTCCATGGTACTCCATGATGCTCCGTGCCCGACTGGTCAGCGCCCTCGGGGTTGTCCGGCGGCCCCTGCCCTGACCTCTGCCAGAGCCGGAGGGCGCCCCCGCGTGCTCCGCAGCACTTGCCCCCCCCCCCACCCGCGAAACGACCTGATCCAGCAGGCGCCCCAGAGTTCTTCGGGTCTGGGCCCCGGCGCCCCTTCTGCGGCTGGTTGCAAGCTGTGGCTCGCGGCATGGGACGTGGCCCGAGGCCGCCGCGCCCTTCCCGGAGCTCCACATCCCCACGGCGCTCGCCCGACCACTCGGGGCAGGCGAGCAGCGCGGGTGCTGAAAGCGGAAAAGGCGAGCGGGGCCAAACCGAAGGGGGCAGGCTCACGCCCGCTCTCGCCCTGGCGCGAAGGGGCATGTGAGCGTTTTCTTATTCGGCGTTTCGACATTGGGCGGAAAGGGGGGGGAGGGGGGGGGTCTAGCTCTGGACCTCTGCTTAGTGCGGCTGTTTGCAGAAGTGCATCCTATGGGGGAGGAGCTCCACCTGCTCGAGACAGGCGCCAAAAATAGCCAAGACCTACTCCATGGGGGGTGGGAGGGGGGGGGCGAGGGCCCGTGCCGATCGGCAAAACAATGAATAAGAAAACGATCACTAGTTGCCTGGTTTGTTTCGTTGATGATGTAGCACGTCCGACGCACGCAGCCAAGACTCCCTCCATAGATTGGGCGTAGGTTCGCCGGCGGCCGTGCCAACATCGATCATTGGCCTCCAGGTGCCCACAAGTGATTTACAATTTTTTGTCGCAGCTCTGGCGCTCGCACAGCGCGGGTCGGCCAGGGGTGGGGTGCGCAAGTGGCGAATGAGCACCAGGACAGGGGCGAAAGGAGGAGGGCGGCCGCGGAGGGAGGGGGCTGCGGGAGGGGCACTCGGGACAGGACGAACTGGACTGGCTGCTGGTGATGCGGCCCAGGTTCCCGGTTGAGCAGTGCAACAAGGCAGCCTGCGGCTTCAAAGTGCACAGCTAACAAGAGAAGAAGGAATGAGATAAGCAGATTAGCCATCTGGAGTTGCCGCGACTGCTTGGGCGAGGCGTTCGGTATGCCCCAATATTTTTGTTACGTGCGAAGCGGAGGAGGCCCGATATCGTGCCAGAATGCGGAGGGGGGAGGAGGAAGGAGGAATCGGAGAAGAAGGAGGAGGAGAAGGAGAAGGAGTAGGAAAAGGAGGGGGTGGGGTAGTAGTACCCCAACCCCTCCACCTCGTTGGCGCCAAGTCTTCTGATACCAGTGGCGGTTCAAGAAGCCAAAACATGAGACGGTCAGGAACTGTTGCTTAGCGTGTCGCCGCGGCGGCCCCAGCGACACACTATGCACTGCAAGTGGCTGGCGTGTCGCTCCGCTCCGCGGGGCGGGAGGTCGGGAAAAGCTCGGGACGCTGACGACTCGGGACTAGGAAGCGGATTAACGCGTCGCGCCGAAGCGTGGTGGGCCAGAACCAGCGGAGCGACACACTATCCGAAAGTTCGCGACCGCATGCCTGTTTCACTGCATATGAAGGGGCCCCAGGACACACAAATAAATACACACTAATAAAAATGTTCCCCATATTTTCCCACATGTTCTGGGTGTCTGTCTTCCCCCCCACTTCCCATATTTTCCCCCATTTTCCTCGGAGTGGACGCTCAATTGTGTCTGTGTGTGTGTTTTTCCCCTCCTGAGCATAGTAGGCTGCGGCGTGAGGGCCCTCACTGTGGCACGGCCCTCGACGCCAGCCGCGCCACGTGCTCCCCCGGGCGGGGCGCTCAACACAGAGCGGGGCTGCCTGCTACCCTCCGAGGGGGAAACGGGGCGGGCACGGAGAGAGGCACGGCGCCCAGCGGCCCAGGCGCCCCGAGGGCCTGCGAGGGAGCCGAAGCCATCCGCGGCGGCCTCCATGCGAGGCAACAAATGTGTGAAGCCCTGCTCTGGATGCCACAATTGAGAAGGTTGAAGGGGCCCTGAGACACACAAATAGATACGCAGAAACAAAAAGATTCCCCATATTTTCCCATGTTTTCTGGAATTCTGTCTTCCCCCCCACTGCCCATATCTTCCCATATTTTCTGGGGAATCGACGATTAATTGTGTCTGTGTGCTTTTTCTCCTCCTGAAAGGTTGGGGGGTCACATCTGGGGGGGGTCTGATTTGAGACGGCTTGGAGGGTTCAGGGGGGTGTGGACAAGAGGCCGCCCTTTCACGGCTGGTCTGGGGGGGGGAACTGCTCGCCTATGAAGGATGTGAGCCCCCCGCCCCCCACCACTTTACTACAAGACTTGACGTGCCGTGCAAGTCAGATTCCTGAAACACCGACAAGGGGCAGAATGTAAAGGACGTCTAAAGCCACGACTAAGCGACTCCCCAGCGTCGACTGGACCCGCAAAGGTGACGCTCGCAAGTGGTCGCAGAAGTTCGGGTCGGGCGAAAGGGGGGGATAGCAAAGGGGGGGTTGAGAATCAGCTCACGTAGCTGATTTTCCCGGCGCCTCCCGGCGCCGGAGGCGCCCATGCATCGAGGAATGGGCCCCTCGGCGAGGCCGAAACCAGCTGCATGCAGCAAATTTCGTAACCCCCCGTTTCCCAATCCCCCCCTTTCGTCCGGCCCGAGAAGTTGCGAATCCGACGGCGCTGGCGCCAACACCTCCGACCTCGATCCTTCATCCTTGCTCCGGCCCCCGATCCTTCCTCCCTCGACCCTCGGATCCTCGATCCTGTTTCCGTCGTGCCCTGCACCTCTGAAGGGGCCCTGGGACACACAGATAAAGAGACACGAACAAACAGGATTCCACAGATTTCCCCGTGTGTTCTGGGTGTTCGTCTTCCCCCCCCCCACCTCCCACACTTCCCCATATATTCTGGGGAATCGACGATGACTTGTGTCCCCCTCCTCGACCTCCTCGACCTCCTCGACCTCCTCGACCTTTGTTCCCCTCCCTGCACCTCCCCGACCTCCCCGACCTCCCCGACCTCCTCGGCCCTCGATGCCCGACCTCCCGCGTCCTCGGCCCTCGGCCCTTCCTTCCGGCGTCGAGCCCCCGGGGGGGGGGCACGGCGCGCGGGCCGTCCCGGCAGGCGCTCGGAAGCCACCGGGCCTGCTGAGAGAAGTGCTCGGAGCCCTCCCCGAGGCCGCAGCAGAACTGATCAGAAGGCGCGAGGGCTTCTGAGAGGCCCCGCCGCCGTCTGGGAAGGCCCGCACGTCGCTCATTTCTGATCGTGCTCGTTTCTAGCTGTGCTCGTGTCTAGTTGTTCCTGGAAAAGGCCCAGGACAGAACAATTAGAAATGAAAAGTTCTTGGCCCCCAAACAAATCAAAGAACTTTCAAAGAATCAGAAATGAACAATGTGTACTCCTTCTCACTTTCGGCTACACGCAAGAGTGACCCTGGGCTAGAGTGACCTTTGGTGCGCGACTCAACAAGGGATGCGGGGTGACCAGCCCCGGGCGGCCAATTGGCTGCCACCGCTTCGCGTTCGGCGATCGGGGGACCGCATGGGGGCCCGCACCAAAGGTCACCCTGGCGAAAGGTCACTCCTGAGTGTAGTCGGCACTTCCCCCCTTCGCTCGCCGCCGATCCTACCGACGGAAGCGGCTCCTCCGATGCAGCCAGCCGCCGCGCATCGGCCAGCCCCGGCAGCTGCGCCCGCCGGTAGCGCGCCGCCGCGTGCCCCAGTGCTGGCCCGGCGCTCCGCGGCGCCGGCGCCGGCGCATGCGAGGCGCGGACCTCGGGAGGGGGGTTGGCTCAAGGGTCGAGGGTGGACGCTCGAGGGTCGAGGGTCGGGGTTGGAGGAGGGAGGTGCGAGCATCGAGGGTCGCGAGGAGCCCTGCTGGAGGATGGAGGGAGGGTCGGGGACCAAGGATCGAGGGTCGAGGTTCGAGGATCCAGGCTGGGAGGAGGAGGAGGAGGAGGAGGAGGAGGAGGAGGAGGAGGAGGATCCAGGATGTCGATGCTTCTGTGCGCGCGCCACCCGTTTTTTTTTTGGGGGGGGGGGCCGCCCCGAAGCGGGCGCCTCGTCGCCGTGGGCCGGACTACTCCTCGCCGAGAGCGGTGGCCATGGGTCTCGGCTTCGAGGAGGGAGGAGGATCCTTCTCGCGCCTCCCTATGATACGGGCCGACTGCAGGCAGTCGGAGGCTTGCCCCCCGCGCTGCTGGGGCCCGGGCGGCGCCCCGCGCCCCGGCCCGGCCCCCCTGTCGATGTGCCGCGAGGGCCGCCGACTGCGCTGCCGCGCGGGTCATGGCGCAGAGGGCGGGTCATGGTCATTGGGTTGGAGGAGATTTTTGTTCTGCTTCCACGCCGCGAGCATGTCTGCGTCCTCCTCTTCGGCGTCCGACAGCACTAGGCCGAGGCGGCAGCGCGGGCAGGAGCGACGTAGAGAGGAGATTGGGTTCGAGGGGATTTTTGTTCTGCTTCCACGCCGCGAGCATGTCTGCGTCCTCTTCTTCGGCGTCCGACAGCACTAGGCCGAGGCGGCAGCGCGGGCAGGAGCGACGTCGGCCCCGGCCGTGCGCGGGGAGACTAGGTGAGAGGGGAAAAGGATCACCCCCATACGAACCACCCCGACAAGCGCAGACGCTTCGCAAGCGCACCCAAAGAAGGAATCGAGCAGCGCCGTTTAGTCAACGCCCAGGGCCATGTAGCAAACGCCAATTGTCGGGTCCGGGTGTTTTTTCTTCCCTTGATCAGGTGGAGAAGGCCGTCGCTGCAGAGAGCTGCGCGCCCATGTCATTCAGGAAATCGCGGCCTCCGTTGCTCTAGCCCATGTTGGCAGCCACTGTATGGGTTGCTGTTTTCGGCATCGCCAGCTTGTTCCGTGCGTCGGGGAACTGGCCATCCCGCAAAGCTTCCTTGAGGTTGCTGTGGAACTACCTGGACACACGCTGCGCAAAATCAGGGTGCCGAACTGTAGCGTTGCGTAGGGTGGCTGCTCCTCTGTGAGGCCCGGGGCGTCTGTACCCGAAGGACAAAGGGCGGTGGCCTGACACCGCCACGCCATCGGCATCTGTCGGCGGCCATGGCCACGCCACTGCCCAGAACGACCCATTAAAATAATCAGCCGCACGGTGGTCCGTGTAGGCCTGGTCAATACGAGAGCGCACATATCCCGAACAATACGTGAACAACGGTTGTGCCATCTCTCGCAACCCCCGCGGCCCAGCGACATATTTGTTCCACGCAACGCTCCGACAACACACAGCCACTTGAAGTCAGCATGTCGCACTCCCCAAGCTCCACTGGAAACCCGCTGGAAGATGAAACGGAGGCGTCTAGCGTATAGATCGCGCTCACAAGAGCATCTGCGAGCCGTGAGCCGTGAATTACCACGCACCGTACTGCGCAACACACCCAAAGTCTGCCCGCCGATGGTGTTTTACTCGGAAGGGGGAGGAGGAGGAAGAAGGACGAAGAGGTGGAGGGAGAGACGCCCGAGGAGGGCAGCAGGCCATCGAACTCCAGCAAAAAAAAAAAAAACACGCGTGCGGAGACCAGACACACTGAGCAAAGCCGGAGCCAGTACCTACACAGGTGTTCCTCACGAGTCCAATTCGAGTTGCGGCCGCAAGCTGAGGTACGCCCCGAAACAGCAGGGATGGACGGGCGGTAGCGCCTCGCCAGATGAGCGAGCACCTAGCGCCTTGATTGCCGATGCGACGCACGGGTGAGGGAAGAGACAGGAGCAAAGCAGAGAAGGAAACAGAAGGACGAGAGCGAACGGCAGGAACTTTAACAAGAAACTGAAGGCCGCACGAGGGGGGTGCAGGGCACGGGAAGCTCTGAGAGCGAACCGTATCTGACGCCCCCAGGGCGGTGGACGCCGCCCCCGGGTCAAAGAACGTGCAAGGCAACATTGTAACCGATACGGGAGGACAGCGAAGGCGCGAGGCACAAGGAGGAGGAAAGAGGGCAACGGCAAAGACCAACCACTGGCAGCATTTACACCAACAAGCTGCTCCGCATGGGTTTGAAGGCCTCTGCCTCGGATGCCACCCCCCCGCAGGGGGGGGGGCCAAGCCCGTGGAAGGTAAGGGACCGCTCCCCGACGACGGCGACGACGACGACAACGACGACGAAGGCGGCGACGACGACGACAACACCCACAACGACCACGACGGCGACGAAGATGACGACGACGGCGACAACGACGGAGGAGGAGGGAATGGGTTTCCTCGGGGGAATTCCGCAAAACAGACCACACTGCAGTGGAAAGTCCCACCCGGTCCTCGGCGCGTGTCACCCACTTGAAATCGCTCATCACAATCCAGCGGTCCCTGGGACGGGATGCCATCGCTTGTCCAAGAGTCTGTCGTAACACCTGCCAGCCCTCCCCCACAGCACTGCCTGAGGGAAAGTGGACCGTCGCATTAGAAAGAAAGCCCTGCGGGCCTGGGAGATGTAGCACAGCCAGTCGCACATATCGATGCTCGACCCAACCATCCTTGTGGATCAAATGGAACTGCTGAAGGAAACTTTTTCCGACGAGAAGTGCCAATCCGCCACGATTTCGCGCTCCATGGGACCAGAATGGTACCACACCTGAGGGAAGTTGTGACGAAGAGCACGTGGCCTCTGTGGTGTGTGTGTGTCCCCTGGATGCCAGTGAAGTCGTGATGAGCTGGGATGCGGGTGAGGTGTTGTCGCTTGCAGCGTTGCCATCTCAGATCGCAGGCCCGAAAGCCCTGGGCATCCCAGGTACCCCCCGAGCAGCTCCCCGCACACGCCGTGCGTCGAGCGTGGGACGGCGCCCCGCGCCGTCTCGGCCCGCCGGGCGGCCCGTGGCCCTCCACTTCTGTGCACGAGCCCTGCCCCTGCTCCTGGCAGACCGTGTGCCCGCGCCGGAGGCCAGGGAAGAAGAAGAAGAAGAAGAAGAAGAAGAAGAAGAAGACGCTCGTGCAGTCGGGTGCGACCAATCATGTCTGGCGGCTCTCCCTGTGGTCTGAGGGTGGGAGGTGGCGAGTTGGCGCATAGGCTGGGGGTCGATCGATGCAGGCGCAACTGGCCAGTTGGATGCCGGAAGCTGGATGTCGGAAGGCTGTACCGGCGAGAGCTGACTGTCGGAAGCTGGATGTCGTACTGGGATGTCGGATGTTGCGGCAGTGCACGAGGTGGAAGTGGGGAGGCAAGCGCTTGGGTCTGGAGGTCGGAATGCGGAGCTGGTAGAGCCTGGAGTCCGATGGGTGGGGGTGGAGTTCGAAAGTCGGGCGGAGGTCGAAGTGCTGGGCCGGTGGGGGCTGGCCCTCGACGGGGGGAGGTGGGAGTGGGCAGTCGGACGCCGAAGGCTGGAGGTCGGAGTGCAGAACTGGTGGAGGGGTGGATGGCCGCAGGCTGGGCGTGGGAAGGCCGAAGCTGGAGGCGGGGTGCTGGAATGCTGTGCTGGAGCAGCCCGGCGGTCGCCTGACGGCGGTGGGCAGTGCGAGGTCAGACGTTGCTGGAGGTCGGAAGTCGAAGGTGGGAGGCGGGGGGTCGAATTACCAGCCTCGAGTTACCAGCCTCGAAGGTGGGGGGCGGGGGGTCGAAGGTGAAGGGGGCCCAGGACACACAAATAGATACACACTAATAAAAGGATTCCCCATCTTTTCCATATGTTCTGGGTTTTCGTCTCCCCCCCCCCCCTTCCCATATTTTCCCATGCTTTCTTGGAATCGACGATGAATCGTGTCTGTGTGTTTTTGTTCCCCTCCTGAGAAGGCTGGAGGTGGAAAGTGACGCTTATGCCCATCGGCATGTAGACAGCCCCCACCCTGAGCGCGTTCTGGCAGAACGGCTGGAGGTGGGAGAGCGCCCGAAACCCCATCTGCACTCCAGATTTCGTAATAAAAGGGAGGGGGTCTGGACCCTCCAAGACAAGCCATTTCAGACCTCCCCCGTGGGAGAGCCCTCCAAAACATCGTCCTCAGACCCCCCAGGCCCTCCAAGATAGCCTGGAAGAGACCCCCCCCCGAAATGAGACTCCCCTCCCTTTCTTACGAAATCTGGAGCACCTACCGCGCGCGTCGAGTTCGAGAGGACGTCCCGCGTCTCCTCCGCCCGCCAGGCGGCCCGTCGCCGACGGATCCCGTGGATGAGCGCGGACGCTGGTCCTGCAAGCCGGTGCCCTCCGCCGGAGGGGGACGAGGAGAAGACAGACAGCAGGAGTACACCCTGCGAAATGCTTAAGAAATCATGGGTTAAGAAATTCATGGTCTCAGGACTTGAACAAAACCCAGAACTTCTATCAAAATCTTGGGAGTTAAATTGAAAAGTTAAGAATAATCGAGACTATGGACGAAAACTTAAGTTTTCTTAAGAATCGCCTGAGGTGTACGATGAACTCGGGTGGTGTGATGTACTACGCCTGGCCTCTCTCCTCGCAGCACGAAAAGCCGAAGATGTCGAGATGCGATCGGAGCCAGCAAGAGGGTCTCACAGAGGGGCCCGGTCTGGTAGAACGGGCGGAGACGGAGGAGGAGGAGGATGGAGGATGTAGAGGGAGGCCAGCTCCATCTCGGATAGCATCAAGTCATGCCGCAAAGATCGTGCACCGAAATCCCGCTGGAGGTATGAGTGGCCTGTTGGCCAGATGCCCAGACGTATTTGCCAAACCAACCTGCCTCCTCCTCCTCCTCCAGGGCCTGCATCGCAGGAAACCTCGGTAAGTTGCAGGGAGCTGGAGGAGGAGGAGGAGGAGGAGGAGGATAAGGAGGATGCAGGGGGTCGGGGAGCGGGGAGGACGGAGACATCGGCGAGGCGGCTCGAGCACCCAAGGAGCCTGGCCGAGGTGCTTCACGATCACCTCGGAGGAAGAGTCGCCGCTGTCGTCGTCTGTCGTCGTCGAGGTCGTCGACCGTCGTCGCAGAATGCGGCGGCCGTCGTTGTCGTCCATCGTCCATCGTCGTCCGTCGTCGTCGTCGTCGTCGTCGTCGTCGTCGTCGTCGTCGTCGTCGTCGTCGTCGTCGTCGTCGTCGTCGTCGTCGTCGTCGTCGTCGTCGTCGTCGTCGTCGTCGTCGTCGTCGTCGTCGTCGTCGTCGTCGTCGTCGTCGTCGTCGTCGTCGTCGTCGTCGTCGTCGTCGTCGTCGTCGTCGTCGTCGTCGTCGTCCGTCGTCGTCGTCGTCGTCGTCGTCGTCGTCGTCGTCGTCGTCGTCGTCGTCGTCGTCGTCGTCGTCGTCGTCGTCGTCGTCGTCGTCGTCGTCGTCGTCGTCGTCGTCGTCGTCGTCGTCGTCGTCGTCGTCGTCGTCGTCGTCGTCGTCGTCGTCGTCGTCGTCGTCGTCGTCGTCGTCGTCGTCGTCGTCGTCGTCGTCGTCGTCGTCGTCGTCGTCGTCGTCGTCGTCGTCGTCGTCGTCGTCGTCGTCGTCGTCGTCGTCGTCGTCGTCGTCTCCGTCGTCGTCGCCGTCGTCGTCGTCGTCGTCGTCCGTCGTCGTCGAGGCCGTGATCGAAGTCGAAGTCGTCGAAATCGATTGTCGTCGTCGTCCACCTTCGTCGAAGTTGCCATCATCGAGGGGGGGCCAGGTGGCCTCAATTCCCCTGCGGAGCACGGCGTTCTCCTGCTCCAGGCCGCGGCAGATCTCGGCGCAGGTCGACAGCTGGTGCTGCATCTGGTGCTTCTGGGCTGCGTGCTCTTCCCTGGCGGGGGCGGCTCTCCCCAGACATCCTACGTCGTGTTTTTGCTCGTCGAGGCTCCCCAGGGGTCTGGACTCCTTCGCCGGGGCCAGCCCTTCTTTCCGGGTCCTTGTTCTTACCGTCCCGGGGTGCGGCAAGGGCCCTAAGGCCGAAAACTGCTGAATACCTCCCGTCTTGATTTGTTCACGACCCCCAGATGCCTGGGTCTGGGACCAGCTGCGCGCAGGAGTGACTCTGGGCAAGAGGGGCCTTCGGTGCACGGCTTTAGAGGAGTCGCGGGAAAGGGCTCGCTGTCAAGGGAAACGGAAGAGGGATGGAAAGAAAACGGGAGGCGGAAGAGAAAGAGCAAGAGGAGCAGGAAGCGGAAGAACAAGATCGGACGACCTGGACAAGGGGACCCCACTGAACGCTCGCTACCTAGCAGCATCAACGCGCGACGATGGCGTGCTGCTCCTGCAGACTGAGGCTGGGCAAGACGCAGAGCAGGGAGTCGGCAGCGCACTCCTGGCGCGCCGGCCAGATGGTCGCGGGGTGCAGGGGCGCAACGCTGAGAGGCCCGGCGAACCGCACCCTCTGGCAGGGGGGCCTCGCAGCGTGCGCGGCGGCAACTCAACGAGGCCCTGGCGGGAGCCGGCGCGGCGAGGCGGGGGGCGGCGGTGCGGACGCGCGCGCTGCGAACTCGGGCGGCAGAGGGGGGGCGAACTCGGGCGGCAGAGGAAGGGGAGGGGGAAGGCGAGGAGGAGCCGAGGAGCAGGAGGAGGGGGAGGGGGACGGCGAGGGAGAGCAGCAGGGAGAGGCAGGGGCGGGGCGTCGGCAGGAGGGGGCGGGAGCAGGGGCGGAGGCAGGGGCCCGGGCCACGACCGTGGGCAGCGGCGCGGGGGGGGTGCAGGCGAGGGACGAGGACGAAGAGAACCCAGCGCCGGCCATGGAGGGGTCGCCGAGATTCGGGAGAGGAGGACGAGGCCGAAGGGGGTAAGGAAGAACAGGTGGAGGCTGCACTGGCGGCGGCGTCAACAGGGGCGGCAACCGCAAGGGTAACCCCGCGGCTCCCTGCACGGCCTGATGGAGCAGATCTCCTGCTGCCCGCGAAGCCACAGCGACTCCTGGCGCCGCTGGCGGGGGGGCAGCGGGGAACCGTGGCGTCGGGGGGGGAACAGAAGTTGAGCGGTCCTGGGAGACTGGACCATGCCTGAGGGAGGGGCCGCAGATGGGAGCCTAGACTTCAGGCGTTGCGATTTCGCCCACTGCGTTACTCCCCAGGAATCTCCACTCCTTCCCAGGGGCCAGCTTTCATCCCCAGTCGCTTCTGAACGGTCCAGGGCCCGAGACGAACCTCCAAAGGTCAGAATGTCAGAAAAACGCCAGCACCGAAAAAAACACGGCGCCGGATGTCTCGGATCACGTTTCGCCTCCATCAGGGGGGCGGCTGGGAACGTTCACCCCCAGCCAGCAGTGCTTCCACAGGTCCGAGGGAACCTGCCATATTCGCTCTTCCTTAGTCCCGGCCCTCTGGTGGTGCTGCGCCGCTTGATTCCCTGTTTTCTCCTCCTCATCCTCATCTTCCTCCTCTTCCTCCTCCTCCAATCTTTTCCGTTGAAAAACCCTCCTCCCCGTCGCGCCCCGAGACGCGTCAGTCGGGCGGGCAGGGCGTTTCGCCTGAGACTTCCTCACCACTGGTCATCCTGAAGCTCACAGTTTGCAACAGCTTCACGGATGGAGGACGGGCCGTTTTCAAAATGTGGCTAACGCCTTAACTCCGCGCACTTTCGTTTGAAAAGTTCGCAAAGTTTCACGGATGGAAGGCGGTTCCTTTTCAGAATGCAGCTCTCGCCTCAGCTCCACGCACATTCGTCTGAAGAGCTTGCTACAGTTTCAAGGATCCTTATGGATGGCGTCCCAGGAATGGTGCTTTTACGCGATGTAGGACTGTCAGGACGCGAAGGCACATAGATTCGGTGTGTTGGAGGTGTGTTGGAGTCCCAGGAATGGCGTTATGGCACGATGCTGGATCATCAGGACGCAACAGTAACGTTGATTCGCAGCGTTGAAATCCCAGGAACGGTGTCTTGGCACGCTCATGATTTTCAGACGGTTGTTTCCAACAGGGCGCTTCCCTCAGTGAAAACAAATCTTTGTAGGGACCTATGAAGAGAAAACTTGGAAAGAGGGTTGATTGCAACATTGTTCATGAATCTTGGGCTTACACAGGTCCTCCTCCTCCGTCTCCTCCTCCTCCTCCTCTTCCTCCTCCTCTTCCTCCTCCTCCTCCTCCTCCTCATCCTCCTCCTCCTCCTGCTCATCCCGCGCCCCCTTCCTGCCGCTACTGCTGCGCTGCCTGATAAGTGCTGCTGCTGCTGCCGTGACGTTGCTGTTGCAGCCGCTGCAAGCCGCTGCTTGGCGTCGCCGCGCCAGCCTCCCCTCACACGTTCCGTGCCCCCCAAGCAGCTCCGGCTACGCCCCCAGTGGACACGGTCACGTGGTGTCGCCACGCCCTTCTGCCACTGCGGTGCGCCCCTTACACGCTTCGTGCCCCACTGGGGAGCTTTAGCTTCAACTACAGCACCAGTTGATACGGTCGCATGGCGTCCGCGCCCACTTCGGCACACCCCTCACTCGGTTCGTGCCCAGCTGGGGGCCCCAAGTGCAAACCCAGCCAAGAAGCTTCACCCTTCTGCGCCTCCCGCGACCTCTCCCTCCCGCGGCGCGCTCATGTAAGGAGAGCTTCACCCCCTACACCACATACAGCTGACAAGGATTGGGTCCCCACTAGGCTACGTAATTCTTTGATTACGCAAGTTCATCCGCGGGCTGCTAGGCCAACGCGGTCTGCTGGGCCGACACGGTCATCTGAGAGGAGTAACCCGAGCATCCCTTGATTTGTTCCACCCCGTGGGACCCCCTGAGAGCAGAAAACTCGAAAAGAGCTTGCGAGTACTATCCCCCAGAGCGTCGAGTAAGTGGGCACGCTCGGGCACAGCTCGAGCCGGCGTCTGGAAAGCCGAGGCTGGCAATCTTGGCCTTGCGGACATTTCCCAGCCTGGCGATGGCAAAGCTTTAGGCTGCTCACAGACGGTCCTCAGAGGTAGCCTCGACGGGCCCTCCAGACAAACTGGGAAGATGTCACCGCTTCAACCCCGACGAGATGCTCGCCCCAGGGGCGCCGCCAGAGGCGGCGCACGTGCGAGGAGTGTGCCAAAATGGGCGCGGCGACCGCACGCGGGCATGCCCACCGCGGCCGTAGCTGGAGCTCCCTGGAGGGCGATGAGGGCGTGAGAGGTATGCCCGAACCGACGCGCGAGCAGCACTTTTTGTTGGTCGGCGGGTCGAGAGCGGGCCTCTTCCGGTTGAGAGCTAGGCGGGGACGCGAGCAGCACAGGCAGCAGGAGAGGCGGCAGCGGCCGGCGCGGCGGCCGGCAGCGGCGGCAGGCGGCGGCGGCAGGCAGCGGCGGCAGGCAGCGGCGGCAGGCAGCGGCAGACGGGGGGCAGCGAAGCGGGGAGGCAGCGGCCGCGGCAGCAGGCAGAGGGCAGGAAGGGAAGGAGGAAGGCGGGAAGGAGGAGGAGCGGGAGTCGCGCGGCGCAGCGGAGCGAACGAGCACCAAACTGCGCAGTAGGCTTGGGAACTGTTGGTTCCTGTGTTTTTTGTTCGCTGTCCATGACTTTCGCCCCGAGACGACGGCCTCAGCAGTGCTCAAAAATGTTTCAAGACGCCCCAAGAATTGCTCAAAAACTGACCAAGACAGCCCACGAGGGCTTCAAGAAGGACCCAACATGGCCCGAGAGGGCCTCTGGAGAGGCTCCAGACAGCCCAAGAGGCCACCAAGATGGTCCGAGACCACTCCCAAGAGGGCGCCAAGACAACCCACGAGAGGATACCAATAGGGTCGCAAGACACCAAAGACAGCTCAAGAGAAGCCGAAGCGCGCCCCCAAGACGCCGACGGAGGATTCTCGGAAAGACCACGCAGAGCTCAAGAATGCCACGAAAGGGTCTCCAAGACGCTACAAGAGTCACGGCTAGAAACCGTTCCCTCCTCCTCTTTCTCCTCCTCCTCCTCCTCCTCCTCCTCCTCCTCCTCCTCCTCCGCCTCCTCTTCCTCCCCACCGCACTCCCCCGCGCCTCCTCCTCCTCCTCCTCCTCCTCCTCCTCCTCCTCCTCCTCCTCCTCCTCCTCCTCCTCCTTGGCCACTTGCTCCTCGGCCACTTCCTCCTCATCCTCCTCGTCCTGCTTTCAGAGTCGCATGCTCGCGCAACGACTGCAAGGGCCAATCGCAGTCTCAAAATATCTTGATTCTTGATGCCCTTTGTTTCAGGACTTGGGCCTCATATGGTTTTTGTGTGTGACGAATCGCCTTCTGCGGGCCCTGGAGCCCGAGAACGGCCCCCAGTGAGCCCAAGAAATGACCCCCACTGGATCCTTGAAATCGTGCTTTTCGCGACGTCCGCCCCACCCACCCACCCACACACCCACCCACCCGTGCCCGTGCCCGTGATGCTTCTTCTGCGACGCCTGGGATCTCGTTTGCAGGACCGCAAGTCGGGCCAGAGAAGGCCCTTCGGAACGACACCGGCGTTCCTATCAGGCTCTCGGCGAAGCGCAGCTGATGGAACACATCCCGAGGCTAGCCTCCAGGGACCTGCGAGGACCTCCGAGAACCTCCGAGGGCCACCGAGAACCTCTGCCGGGGCCTTCTGCAGCCCTTGGCCTGGGCGCACTGTTCCCCGCAGCGGGCAACGGCCGCGGGCGCGCTCCCGAGAAGGACGGCGACAACGACGGCAGCGGCGGCGGTGGCGACGACGGCGGCAGCGACATCGACGACACAACAGCCAAAACGACATCGACGACCACAACGATGGCGACGACAGCGACGACGACGAAGACGACGACGACGACGACGACGACGACGACGACGACGACGACGACGCGGCGCTGACGGGCGGACAGCCTCCGCGGCCGCCGCCCTGCACTCGACTTGCTCGAGGACGGCCTCGGCCGTCCGCCACGGGGCGCCCAAAGGGCGGAGACCGCCGAGGACGAGGACGGAACAGGACGACGACGACGACGACGACGACGACGACGACGACGACGACGACGACGACGACGACAGCGGCCCGGCCTAGAGAGTGATGACGGAGAACGACGACGGCGTTGATGATGATCATGGAATTCATTGCCCTGCATTGGTGGTTTCGGTCTGCTGTGAAGGAAGGCGGTGTTTGCGCCCACTGTTATGTTATGGGGGAAACCACGCGGAGGCAAGAGGGACGACACGACGACGACGACGACGACGACGACGACGACGACGACGACGACGACGACGACGACGACGACGGCGACGGCGACGGCGACGGCGACGGCGACGGCGACGGCGACGGCGACGGCGACGGCGACGGCGACGGCGACGGCGACGGCGACGGCGACGGCGACGGCGACGGCGACGGCGACGAGGAGCTCGCTGAGGTAGTCAGTGCAAAGCCGCTGCCGCGGACGGGGCAAAAGCTTCACGGGGGGCCGCCGCCTCTTCGCGCCGCCGCCACCCAGAGAGCAGGGAAAGTGGAGGGGAAGGGGAAGGGGAGGAGGAGCAGGAGGAGGAGCAGAACGAGGAGGAGGAGCAGGAGGAGGAGGAGGAGCAGGACGAGGAGGAAGAGGAGACCAAGGAGGATGAGGAGGAGGAGGAGGAGGAGAAGGAGGAGGAGGACGGGGGAGGGTAGGGGCAAGAGCCCTCCAAGGAGGAAGGGAGAAGGAGAACAGAAAACATCGACGCTTTGACACGGTTCCCCACGCCAAAACATGAACATCTGTCGATGCTGTTCCTCTTAGGTCGCGCGCGTGCCGTTCGCGCCCAGAACCGAAAGAGTCGAACTCTTGACATGTGATCGACGGCTTCCCTGACATTTGTGAACCTCTCAAGCCCCGGGAAGCCATGGAGGTCTCCGGAAGCCTCCGGGAACGTCCGAGGACCGCCGGACGCCTCCGCAAAGTTCCAGAGGAGGTCAGTCCAGACTCTGGCGACTCGGAATGACTCGGCGCCAGGAGCCGTTCTCTATGGCTTTCCCTGATCCTCGGCGTCGGGGGGGCGTTCTGCCTGCAGTGCCATCAGACATCAGCTCTGAACGAAAAGCCGATCCCGGGAAAAGGGTCGAGACATCATCGTCTCTCGCCAGGCCGTCGTGCCGTCGCGCGACTCTCCGCACCTCCTGTCCCGAACGAGACCGCCTCGGCCTTCTCCCCAAAATCGGAACCACCTGCAGCAAGAACCTCGCTGTGCTCAGGAGAGGACCGCACAGCCGCCAAGTCGTGTTCCAGCCGATTGGCGCTCCTGCGCTCGCGGGCCGCTGGCGGCGTCGCAGCGCGGCCGAGCGCCCTGGCAGCCGGGAGCGCGCGGCGCACGAATTGGCAGGCAGCAAAGGGATGGGAAGCAGGAAGAGGGCGGCCGCAGAAGCCAGGCGAGGGAAAGGGGGCACTCACCGCGGACGGAGTCTCAGCGGGATTGGCCAGAGCAGCCAGCCTGTGCTGGGGCGACCTGGCGCGAGCGCGGCGCGGCGTCGCGACCACACCCAGGGGCTGAAGGCAAGGGGACAGGCGCTGCGAGCGTGGAGCAAGTCGAACCCGCACGTCACGAGGAGGAGCGGCACGCGAGTCCGCAGCGGCGAGAGTGGGAGTATCCAAGTGTCCGCCACGAAGCCGTAAGCGTCGGGCTTTGCCGCAAAGTTACGGCGCCAGCAGGATGCAGACATGGCCTGAGCGTCCGTGGCGGGAGCTGGGGGCTGCGAACCGCGCCCTGCAGCAAAAGGCCGCCCCCACTGGAACCACAGGCTGCGGAGCTGCTGACCAACTGAACTGCCGCTGCGGGGCAGCGAAGCGAGAAGCCACCCGCCAGCGCCAGGGGAGGCCCAGGCGGCGGGGGGGGGGCGGCAGGAGGAGGAGGAGGAGGAGGAGGAGGAGGAGGAGGAGGAGGAGGAGGCGGAGGAGGAGGAGGAGGAGGAGGAGGAGGAGGAGGAGGAGCCGGCGGCCCGGGAGGTGCACACATCACGGGCGGGCGGGGCAGGGAGACTCAGCCACACAAGGCTGGCCAGGCAGGGGCGCCCAGCTGCAAGAGCAGCGGGGCAGGGGGCCTGACGAGAGCCGGGGGGCCTCCTCCTCCTCCTCCTCCTCCTCCTCCTCCTCCTCCTCCTCCTCCTCCTCCTCCTCCTCCTCCTCCTCCTCCTCCTCCTCCTCCTCCATTCCTTTTCCTTACAAATGACTCCTCCCTGTCGCATCCCGAGGATGTGGCGACGCAAAACACCAAAAACATGCCTATCACATTGCACGAAACGGCACTCTTGCCCAGCTAATGAAACGATTAGTCTCAGCAGCTTGGAGGACACACACACCCACGGCAGTTCGGAATGAGCCACCAGGCACTTCGTCGCAACAGGGGAGGTCGCGACCGCCCTCCCTTCCCGCCCCCCCTCCCCTGTGCCTACCGACTCGCAGAGCGAGGCTGACCACGCGCCCACGCCCCGCACTTGCTGGATCACCCTATGGGCGCATGCACCCACGCCCCCACCCGCCCACGCCTCGCCTTCTACATGCTGCCGTGGACCTCCTGCGCGCCGAAAGGCTTGATTTGTCGATACACCTTGGCCACCTCGGCGTGGCACAGAGCGGAAGAGTTCCACGCCGTAGACTGCATGCCCTCCTGGCCCTTGCCCCAGGGGCGGCCAAAGACATCAAAGATTCCACAGGGGCCACTTCGGGTTCCGCCGACCTCTCGACAGACCGCTCGAGCTCCTGGCGAACGAGGCGGAAGGCCTGTTGCGCAGCTGTGTTGCACGGGACCTCGGGGATCGAGGTCGGGCCCGACATCACGATCTCGACAAACTTTTCGCGCCCGCAAGCGCGACAAAAACCAGATGCAGCGGCGAGGAAAAGCCAGGGCGCGCTGCTGCATGCAGTGCCCACCTTCGCAAAGATCCACACTGGTTTGTTGAGCATGCTGTTGTGCACCAGTATCTATGCGACCACTATTTGCAGCACCGCTGTGCGTTCATTCCACGTCTTTTCCACAATCTCGACGAACCAACTCCAGCCGCTCGACCGATGAAGAGGTCGAGCTTGTCAGCGGCGATGCGACCGGCACCCTGCTGGAGGGCTAGGGGACAGGCGCAGCCTCTCGAGGGCGAGCTCGCTCGCCACCTTCAAAAACCTCTTGAGAACGAGCTCGTTCGCCACATCCGCCCTGCTCTTTGTCAGGGCCCGAGTGCGGCCTGAACACGGATCTCGCCACAGCCCGCGTGCGCGAGAGCCGACGGCCAGCAGCTTCCGCTTTTCCCAACCATCCTGTGGTGTTGGGCCCTCGTTTTGAGGAGACAGCGCCCCGCGTCTCACCTCCTCCCGCTGCCCCCTCCCTCCTCCCCCTCCTCCCTCCTCCCATCCGCCTCGTCATCGTCATCGTCATCGTCATCATCATCGCCATCGTCATGATCCACATCATCATCACCATCACCATCGCTATCGTCAGCGACGCGCCCATCAAACGTTCCGTGGCACCACAGGGAGCTCCACCGGAGGCCAAAGTGGCAGCGGTTGCATGCGCCACCACCGCCCCATTTTGGCACATCCCTCACACGGTTCGTGGCCCCATAGGCAGCTCCACCGAAGGCCCCAGCGGGAGCGTCCGCATGGCACCGCCGCCCCATTTCGGCACACCCCTCACACGGTTCGTGGCCCCATAGGGAGCTCCACCGACCCCTCACACGTTTCGTGGCCCCCATAGGGAGCTCCACCGAAGGCCCCAGCAGGAGCGTCCGCATGGCACCGCCGTTCCATGTCGGCGCACCCCTCACACGTTTCATGGCCCCCATAGAGAGCTCCACCAAAAGCACCAGTGGGGGCGTCCGCATGGCACCGATGCCCCATTTTGGCGCACCCCTCCCACGGGTCGTGGCCCCAGAGGGAGCTCCACCAAAGGCCCTAGCGGGAGCGTCCGCATGGCGCCGCCGTTCATTTCGGCACACCCCTCGCGCGTTTCGTGGCCCCATCGGGAGCTCCACCGAAGGCCCCAGTGGGAAAGTTCGCATGGCACCGCCGCCCCATTTCGGCACACACACACACACACACACACACACATCACAAGTTTCGTGGCCCCACAGGGAGCTCCGCGGAAGGCCCCAATGGCGACGTTCGCAGGAGTCCTCCCGACTCATGTCGGCACACCCTTCACACGTTTCGTGGCAGAAGGCTATACCACGTGCGCTACTCGGAGTTTGCGCGCCCCCCTCCGTCGTGGCATCTCCCTCGCGGCACTCGCAGCTGCATATGGTTGGGTCCTTCGCCAGGCAAACTCCCAACCATCCTGTGGTGTCAGGTCATCCTTTTGAAGAGATAGCGCCCCGCGTCTCCTCCTCCTCCTCCTCCTCCTCCTCCTCCTCCTCCTCCTCCTCCTCCTCCTCCTCCTCCTTCCCTCCTCCCATCGACAGCGTCATCATCATCATCATCATCATCATCATCATCATCATCATCATCATCATCATCATCATCATCATCATCATCATCATCATCATCATCATCATCATCATCATCATCATCATCATCATCATCATCATCATCATCATCATCATCATCATCATCATCATCATCATCACCATCACCATCATCATCATCATCATCATCATCATCATCATCATCATCATCATCATCATGCTCATCATCATCATCATCAGCAGCAGCATCATCATGAACATCATCATCATCCTCCTCATCATCATCATCATCATCATCATCATCATCATCATCATCATCATCATCATCTTCATCATCATCATCATCATCATCAGCATCATCATCATCATCATCATCATCATCATCATCATCATCATCATCATCATCATCATCATCATCATCATCATCATCATCATCATCATCATCATCATCATCATCATCATCATCATCATCATCATCGTCACCATCAGCATCATCCCACCCATTTCGGCACACCCCTCACACGGTCCGTGGCCCCAGGGGGAGCTCCACCGAAGGCTCCAGTGGCAGGGTCCGCATGCGTCTACGCCACCCAAGCCAGCGCTTCGTGGCCCCATAGGGGGCTCCACCGGAGGTTCCAGGTGCAGGGTCCGCATGCGTCAACGCCACCCATGACAGCGCTGCGTGGCCCCATAGGGGGCTCCACCGAAGGCTCCAGTGGCGGGGACCGCATGCGCCAACGCAAACCAGGACAGCGCTTCCGGGGCCAATTGGGAGCTCCACCGAAGGCTCCAGTGGCAGGGTCCGCATGCGTCTACGCCACCCAGGACAGCGCTTCGTGGCCCCATACGGAGCTCCACCGAAGGCTCCAGTGGCAGGGTCCGCATGCGTCAACGCCACCCAGGACAGCTCTTCGTGGCCCCATAGGGAGCTCCACCGAAGGCTCCAGTGGCAGGGTCCGCATGCGTCTACGCCACCCAGGACAGCGCTTCGTGGCCCCATAGGGAGCTACACCGAAGGCTCCAGTGGCAGGGTCCGCATGCGTCAACGCCACCCAGAACGACGCTGCGTGGCCTATAGGGAGCTCCACCGAAGGCTCCAGCGCAAGCGTCAACGCCATCCAGGACAGCGCTTCGTGGCTACATAGGGAGCTCCTCCGAAGGCTCCAATGGCAGGGTCCGTATGCGTCAGCGCCACCCAGGGCAGCGTTTCGTGGGCCCATAGGGAGCTCCCCCGAATTCTCCAGTGGCAGGGTCCGCATGCGGCAACGCCACACATGTAGGCACACCCCTCACACGGCCCGTGGCCCCAGAGGGCGCTCCACCGAAGGCTCCAGTTGCAGGGTCCGCATGCGTCAACGCCACCCAGGACGGCGTCTCGTGGCCCCATCGGGAGCTCCACCGAAGGCCCCAGTGGCACCGTTCGCATGCGTCTCCCCCACCCAGGACAGCGTTTCGTGGCCCCATAGGGAGCTCCACCGAAGGCCCCAGTGGCACTGTTCGCATGCGTCTCCCCCATCCAGGACACCGTTCCGTGGCCCCATAGGGAGCTCCACCGAAGGCCGCAGTTGCACCGTTCGCATGCGTCTCCCCCACCCACGACACCGTTTCGTGGCCCCAAATGGAGCTCCACCGAAGGCGCCAGGGGCACGCCTCCCCCACCCAGGACATTGCTTTGTGGCCCCATAGGGAGCTCCACCGAAGGTCCCAATGGCGCCGTTCGCATGCGTCTCCCCCACCCAGGACAGCGCTTCGTGGCCCCATAGGGAGCTCCACCGAAGGCGGCAGTGGCGCAGTTCGCATGCGTTCCCCCCACCCAAGACAGCGTTTCGTGGCCATTTGTCTGGCCTCACACTGAATCTCGCACAGGAAAGGGGATCCTGGTGTATACGGGATCCTCGTGTATACCTTATTCGTTTCCCTAGGAAAACGGGGAAAACATATACACCACACCACCCCAACGTCGTCCCCGACCCTCAAGAAAGTCCTGGGATTGAAAAACCGCCCGCCACTGGTAATGTCGATGCTCCAGTTTCCGTAGAAGGAGCTCCAACGAAGGTCCCAGTGGCGCAGTTCGCATGCGTCTCCCCCACTCAGGACAACGCTTCGTGGCCCCATAGGGAGCTCCACCGAAGGCCCCAGTGGCGGTGTCCACATGCATCCGCGCTACCGATTTCGGCGCACCGCTCGCACGATTCGTGGCCCCATAAAGAGCTCCACCGAAAGCGGTACCTACAATGCGGCACTCGCAGCTGCATATGGTTGGGTCTTTCGTCAGGCTAATTTGTTGAGCACGGCGGCGGGCCCATCCCGCCCGACCGAGGAAGCGCAGCCTGAATCTCTTGCCCACGGGACCCAATTCGATATCGGCCCGCTCCGTCGGCATCTGGACGTCTTGCATGTCGGCGACGAGCGAGGGGGGAGAAGTGAGAAGGAGAGGGCCTTCTCAGAAGACGACGCGGGACTCCTCAGCAGCCCTCGCGCCTTCTGAGAGGTTGTCCGTGTCTTCGGGGAAGGCTCAGGAAACTTCTGAGAAGGCCGGGGGGACTTCCGAGCCTTCCCCGAAGGCCCGCCCCTTTTTCCTTCCCCCCGGGCTCGCCGCCGAGCTTAGGCATGTCCACCACCGACGTGATGCTGGACAAGGGAAGCGGCTCCTTCACGCAACCGTGGTGAAAAAGGCATGGGCCGATCTCCCGCTCCTGGTTGCCGACCGCCGCAACAGGCCGTGGACGAGCGGTCTGGATCGTGCTCGTGTGCTCGCGCAGCACTCGCATCTCCCCATGAAGGCGCCCCACTTCCTCCCATCGGTCAACGGCGAGCGAGGGGGGGAAATCATAAGGAGAAGGCCTTCTCGGAAGGCGGCGGGGCTTCTCAGCAGCCCTCGCACCATTATGAGAGCTTCATACGTCTTCTGGGAAGGCTCAGAGCACCTCTCAGAAGGCCAGTGGACTTCCGAGCCTTCTGAAAAGGCCCGCCCCTTCTCACTTCTCCCCAAAGCGCGCCGCCGACCGTTGTCTCTCCACGACTGCGATGCGCGGCTCCACTCCGGCCGTGCGGCGGCCCACGACCTGTACCGACTCGGCCTGCACCGAGCGGAGCTGGGACTGAAGGGAGGACTCCAGGCTCCCGAGCTGCTCGCCGATGGCACGCTGGCACGGCGGCCCCGCGAGGCAGGGGACCCGGCAACAGCACCACGGGCACCAACAGGAGCTGCAGGCGATGGCCGTGCTGCCGCAGCCCAGGGGTCGAACGATCCAGCACCTTCGGGGTGAGCGGGGGGCGTCGGGGCGACCTCCATCGGCTCGGCGATCTGGGCCGCGGGCTGCGAGGAAAAAGTCGGCATGGCGTCGAACGCCGGCAGCGAGCTCGGCAGCTCGGCAGCAGGGGTCGGCGGCTCGAGCTCGCAGCTCAACGGCAGTCGCACCGGCTCCTGCGGCCGCCGCTTGCTGGTCGATGGCCGCCACAGATCGCGTGAGCAGCACGGCGGCGAGCATCGTGGCGTCCACGAGCGCCCGCAGCATCTCGCGCTCCACGACGGCGCGCCCGCCCTTCGGCGGGGTCGCTCCCACCACTGCGGCTGACCGAGAGCGAGGAACCTGACGGACTACCGCTCCCGCTGGCTTCGGCCTTCGGAGTGCGCCCGTCAGCACCATGGCGAGAACCATCACACCAAGAGACGCCCCTCAGGTGGACTGCGAGAGAGACGACCCTCGAATCGCGGCGGGGCGAAAGAGGAGGGGCGGGAAGGAGGAGACACGCGGAGCTGCGGATTCAAGACATTCTCGGCGGTGAACAAACCTCCCTTTAATGAAAGCGGCCTTCGACCGAAACCGACGGACCTGGAACCGCAAAAATGACGGCCGCGACGCCCTCTCGCGAACCGAGAACGGCCACGTCGCTAATCGACGTGTCAGGGTAGGAGGTCGATCGACCTCAGGCATTCAAAACCAGGGCACACTAACTCAGGAGGGTTGGGAGACTGGAACGCCGTCTCGCCCTTGCCAGGCTCCGAGCCCGCGAGGCCGACCCTCGCGCGCGCGCCCCCCCCCCGAAGAGCACGTCGCCGCGCGGAGGGCCTCGGCGAGCTGGGCCGCAAGCGCGTCCCTCCAAGAATCCTGCGGTCGGACCGGGCGGCAGAGTCATCCTCATCGTCACCGTCAGCCTCTCATCGTCTCACAATGTCGTCATCAGCATCGCCACCACCACCATCATCATAGTCACCACCACCACCACAGCCACCACCAACACCACCATCATCGTCAGCATCATCATCATCATCATCATCATCATCATCATCATCATCATCATCATCATCATCATCATCATCATCATCATCATCAGCAGCAGCGTCATCCTGCTCCGCGTCATCATCATCAGCATCATCATCATCGTCATCATCGTTATCAACAGCATCACCATTACCATCCTCCTCATCATCAGCAGCACCATATTCTTCTTCATCATCACCATCATCATCATCATCATCGTCGTCATCATCATCGCCATCGTCATCAACAAGATCATCACCTCATCATCACCACCACCACCACCACTATCATCTCATCGTCAGCAGCATCATCAGCATCCTTATAATCATCAATATCGTTCTTCCTCCACCTCCTCCTCCTCCTGTTTTCTTCTCCTCCTCTTCATCCTCCGCCTCCTCATCCTCCTTCTCCTCGTTCTCCTGCTCCTCCTCCCCCTCCTCCTCCTACCTCTGCCCCCTTCTCCTCCTTTTTCCCTGTCGCACGAAACTCGCGCGGAGGGCACACTCTGAACTGTGTGTGGGCGTGCAGGAGCTCTTCGTCTGGCCCTGGGAGACACGCCGGACAGAGGCGCAAAGCGAGAAGACGGCTCCCCAGATCCTCCTCCTCCCCCTCCTCCTCCTCCTCCTCCTCCTCCTCCTCCTCCTCCTCCTCCTCCTCCTCCCCCTCTCCCCTCCTCCTCCCCCTCCTCCACCTCCTCCTCCTCCTCCTCCCTCCTCCTCCCTCCTCCTCCTCCTCCCCCTCCTCCCCCTCCTCCCCCTCCTCCTCCACCTCCTCCTTTCCTCCTCCTCCTCCTCCTCCTCCTCCTCCTCCTCCTCCTCCTCCTCCTCCTCGACGGGCCACCCGACATCCCCCCCTTCCTGCCCGAAGCCCCCCCCCCCAAACAGGGCCAGCGTCGCGCGAGAGGCACGACGTCGGAGGTCTGGGGCGTGGCCAGGTTCGGGCCCCTCGGGGAACTCGGGGGGGGGCTCGCTTTTCCCCACACGGCGCCTGCATTTACGAGATCCCACTTGGCCGGATAAGCGATCGGCGCCAGAGGAGGCTACAGGAGGCAGCCTCTGTTTCCCGTCCTTCTCCTCCTCCTCCAGCTCCTCCAACTGCTCATCCTCCCCATCCTCGTCCTCGTCATCATCCACCTTGTCTGCCTCCTCCACTCCCTGAGATGCATCCTCGTCCTCCTCCCTATTGTCAACATGCTTCTCTTTTATCTTAGCGTCCTCCTCATCTAGAGTGCTGAATCCACATTTGTATGCATCCCCGCCCGCCCGCAGTCGCAACACGGTTGTGCTTCCGAAGACGGCCCACCACAACCACCACCACAAGTTCCTCCCCATCATCGTCATCCTCCTCATCCTCATCCCAATCGTCAACAAAATCGTCCTCATCTTCCTCCCTATGAGTTCACGTAGCAGGGCGTCACAGTCTTCCAGCAAGACGACACGGACAAATCAACGTTCGCTTCAGAGATGAGGACCCTCATCACCCGCAGAAATGGACGAATCCCACACTCTGCAAGAGGGGGAGGAGGAGGGAGAGGCTGACAAGAGAACGACGCACACGTGAATTCGGCAGAGGAGGAACCGAAGACAGACGCGACAGGTCTGGCATTCAACGCACGGGCCAGGGCAAGAAGGAAGGAGATGTGGGAGGAGAGGGGGGAGGAGAGGGAAGAGAATCCATAAGAAGAGGAGGGAGAGGACGACGACGACGAGACCACCACCGCCTCCTCCAACGGTCTTCAGCAGTCCCGGGAGGCCAAACGCGTTCCCAGGAAGTCCCCATATACACTGAGCATGGGGGGAACGGATCCCGAGGGAAACGGGTCCTGGACCCGGGGGCCTCCCCACTGCGGGGACCGGTGTTTCGGGGATTGCAAACGTTGGACACTCAAGTAGGACGTGAAGCCACACCTTGCGACGAACACATGAGAAGGGGAAGAATCAACACGGGGGGAGGGGGTTGAGGAGCCTGGGGACTAAGAGCGACCATAGTAAAGTTTCTTATCTTTGAGTTGAGGACGGCACCCAAGAGCCCGAACGACTCACACCAGGAAGAAGGGCCCGAACGACTCACACCAGGACGAGAGGCCCGGAGATATGCGGGGGCAGGCGGAAACACGCCTGAAAAACACGACTGTCGGCATGCTTCGCAAGAGTTGCTATTTTGAGATGGGCTGGTGGGGATACGCGAAGCGTGAAGAATTTCTTATCTTTGAGTTGAGGACGGCACCCATGGCATACCCTCCCCACAGGACCAGCTCTTCCTCCCGAGCCGTCTCCTGCCAGCCCCAGGGCCCGCGGAGGGCCCCGAGCGGGCCCGAGAAAGGCGCCAGCCCTCGGGACCCGCTCCTCGCGGGACCCGCTTACCCCCAGGGCGGATCGACCCGCCCCGGGGTCAGAGACCAGCCAACAAAGCCTCCCAGGATTGCAAAATGCAGCAGAAGGATTTCATGACACAAAGTCGTGGACCAGAAAGAATGGCATCTCGCGCGCGCGCGCCAGAATACGTGCGCTGTCAAAAACATGCCCGAATACTGGTCGAGACCAACCAACAAAAACTCCCAGGATTGCAAAATGCATAAGGATTTCATGGCACAAGGTCGTAGACAATGAAGAACAGCATCTCGCGCGCGCCAGAATACGTGCGCTGTTAGCAGCATGCCCGAATACTGGTCAAGTTTCGCCCATGCGCGGACGATGCAGCATCATGGCCGCGCACCGCCACCGATGAATAATGGCGCGCGCGCGCCGGAATACATAGGAATTGAAAATGCATGCCCGCGCGCGGAAGGGATGGCGCCCTGGGCACGCAATGCACAAGGCGATCGGCAAGTATATACCCCAGAGGAGCATTTCAGCGGAGGCTTCTGCGAGCACCTTTGCGGCGACAACTGACGCGAACATGAAGCAAGGGGACATTGAACCAGGCACGTTCTAACGTAAGACGCGGGGCGCGGGCGGATATGCAAGCGCGGGTCGACGGGCGGGCCATTTCAGGCTGCGGGTGCCTAGACAAATACTCAGGCATTGACTTAAGTTAAGACGCGGTCGCTTGATGTAAGGCACAGTCGTGCACAAGGAGAGGCTACTGTAAAAACAGGATCGAACACTGGGGAAAGTGAAGTGCGACGTGGCACGGACGCTCCGCCGGGCGGAGCCTTGGTGAGCGCGCGGGGGCATCGAAGCTTGCTGCGACGGGAGGGGCGGCAGGAAGACGCGGTCGTCCAACGTGGCAAGGCACTGCAAAAACAGAGTCGATATCTCGAGGGGCGACGGCCGCGGGGCGGCCCTCCCCGAGCGCGGCCGCGCCCGCCGCCGGCAGCCCCGCCGCCGGCAGCCCCGCCGCCGGCAGCCTGGGCGGGGCCCGAACCTGCCAGATGCCGGGGGGGGCTGCGGGGCCAGGGAGGGCGTTGGAGAAGAAACCGCTGGATCAGAAATCCAAGGCCTCGAGGCCAGTGGAGCTCCCATCGTGGGTTGGCAGCGGATATAGCTGCCACCCGCATCGGATGAGGAAACTTCCAGGGTCTGGAGCCTCCTGGTCACGTTTCTGAAACAACGCCCCCACCGTGTGGGGGAGTAGGGGGAGAGGGGAGAATGTGAGGGCAGCACGCGTGCACCAATGAGCAGGTGGAGAGGAGCGGAGGAGGAGGAGGAGGAGCAAGGAGAGTGCAGGTGCAGCACGCGCTCCAAAACGCGGGGGTGGAGAGGAGAGGAGAGGAGAGGAGAGGAGAGGAGAGGAGAGGAGAGGAGAGGAGAGGGAGAGGAGAGGAGAGGGAGAGGGAGAGGAGAGGGAGAGGAGAGGAGAGGAGAGGAGAGGAGAGGAGAGGGAGAGGAGAGGAGAGGAGAGGAGAGGAGAGGAGAGGAGAGGAGAGGAGAGGAGGAGCAGGGGGAGGAGCGGAGGAGAAGGAGGAGGAAGAGGAGGGGGAGGAGGAGGACGACGAGGAGGAGGACGAGGAGGAGGCGGAGGAGGAGAGGGAGGAGGAGGAGGAGGAGGAGGAGGAGGAGGAGGAGGAGAGGAAGGAGGAGGAGGAGGAGGAGGAGGAGAAGAGAGGGAGGAGGAGGAGAAGGAGCAGGAAGGGGGGGGGAAGGAGGAGGGGGGGAGGAGGAGGAGGAGGAGGAGGAGGAGGAGGAGAGGAGGAGGAGGAGGAGGAGGGAGGAGGAGGAGGAGGAGGAGGAGGAGGAGAGAGGAGGAGGAGGAGGGAGGAGGAGGAGGAGTGAGAAAGGAGGAGGAGGAGGAGAGGAGGAGGAAAAAAGGGGGAGGGGGGACTCTTGTTCATGGCAGAGCAGCCGCGGGCAGCCTCCACGGCGAGCTCCCAGAGGACACGCCGGGTGCTCGCCGGCGCGCCCCCGGGCGCGTCGGGCTCTCCCGGGGCGGCCTCCGGGACCGAGGCGCGGCCCCCGGCCAAGGTCGGGGGCTGCTACAAAGGTGCCCCTGGCCCGAGGTGCCCCTAGCTTGTCGCCCCATTTGGGAGCCCCTGGAGGCATGTGGATGTGGACGTGGAAGCCGTGCTCGTACCCATGGGGCGTTGCAAGTGACCTGCCCCGAGGAGGTGCCCCCAGCTTGTCGCCCGATTTGGGAGCCCCTGGGGGCATGTGGATGTGGATGTGGATAAGGGGGCCACAAGCGAACCCTACCCCTAGCCCCCACGATTTCTGAGGGGGAGGGTGGGGTTCACCTCGCTCGGGAGAACCCCGAGCGAAGTGAACCCCACCCTCGCCCTCCGAAATCGTGGGGGGTAGGGGTAGGGTTCGCATGTGGCCCCCTACCCTGGCCGAGGTGCCCCCAGCTTGTCGCCCCAGTTGGAGGGCCCCTGGGGGCATGTGGATGTGGACGTGGAAGCCGTGCATGTACCCATGGGGCGTTGCAAGTGACCTGCCCCGAGGAGGTGCCCCCAGCTTGTCGCCCGATTTAGGAGCCCCATGGGGGCATGTGGATGTGGATGTGGAGAAGGGGGACACAAGCGAACCCTACCCCTAGCCCCCACGATTTCTGAGGGGAAAGTGGGTATTGTTGGATCCCCAGGTTCCAATCTGCTTCGAGCGCCTTCCTGCTTGGGCGGCGGACGGAACCCAATCCACGTTCAACGCCTTCTCGGGGGTTGCTAAAGGTACCTCTGGCCCAAGGTGCCCCCAGCTTTTCGCCCAAGTTTGGAGCCCCTGGGGCCCTCTGGGCCTCGTGAGGGGTGCTCTGGAGGCCGTGGGGGCCTATTGGAGGTCCTGGGGGCACCTTGGGCCAGGGGCACTTCTAGCAACCCTCGACAAGGCAGGGGAGGCGCGCCGCGGCCAAGTGCGGGAGCGGATCGGAGGGGACAAGCACCCAACATTCGGTCAGGCATGTCCTCCTGCAGGCGGATATATGGAGGAACGATGAAGAATCGTCAACCAAATATTCAAAATCGTCCAAAATAGTGGGGAACAAAAGCGTCCCCCGACTGTGTTTTACAATTTTCGAATATCCCTCCTGTAGAGGGACATGCCCTACTAAACCCAACACCTCCTGGCACAAAACCCTGGGCCAGATGATACGCGGAGCTAATGTGGGGCCAACGCCCACCCACCCCGCACTGATCCTGCAGAGTCCGAACAGGCCAAACTACCTTATATTAGCGCGCAGCCTGCGCGCATCAAGGAGGAGGAGAAGAAGACAGGGAGAAGGGACTACTATTTTGGCAAGGCTGCCCGTGGCGGGTTCGCCAGCGAGACAACAGAAAAATGCTACGCGAGTGCGCGGAACGCTCGAGAAGACACGATTCGACCGAGCACCAGGCGGAGCAGCACGCGAGTTCAGCGAGGCGGGCGGGGCGACGCCAGAGAGGCCGCCTCTCGCGCGCGGCTCTGGGCTACCAGCGCACCCACCCAGACGGGTCACCCGCAAGATCGCAGAGGGACAGCCATGGCGACATCACCGGCTGCGGCCAAATCGGAGGGAAAGGACAAAGCAGATGGAACGACGAGGGGGGGCGCCCCAGCCGGCGACCCAAGCAATCAAAGCAGGCAGGGCCATCAGAGAACCGACGGCAGCGCCCCCCACCTCCGCCAGGAATTGGGGGGGGGGGCCTGGCCTCTGACAGAGTGCGTGTATCTCTATCATTTCCTGTCCTACCTCCCCTGCATGCACGCCATCCTCCTCCTCCTCCTCATCCTCCTCCTCCTCCTCCTCCTCCTCCTCCTCCCCTCCTCCTCCTCCTCCTCCTCCTCCTCCTCCTCCTCCTCCTCCTCCTCCTCCTCCTCCTCCTCCTCCTCCTCCTCCTCCTCCTCCTCCTCCTCCTCCGCCCCAGAGGCCGCTTTGAGCCCCGCCTGGGCCCCGTCGAGGCCCGTGCCCGCCGTTGCCGTTTTTGGCGCTGGGGCCTCCCAGGGCCCTTGACCAACTTACGGTCTGCCGCCCCGCTGGCGGCCGAAAGCGATCGGGGCAGCTGTCCCTCCTGGCGCGGCGCGCTGGAGAAAGAGAGCGAGCGATACCAACCGCTAGCGCGGCTCCGCCAGCCTCCACGCATACAGCCTTCCTATAAGTGAAGAAGCCTCACCGCCGCTCGCCAGACCCTCGCCAAGGCAGTTGGCCAGCGGGCACCTTCCTCCTCCACAACGTAGCACGTCACATGCGGCGCGCAATCTTTTCCTTCCACTTCTTATCCCGCGAGGAGGGGATATTTTCGACGTCTAGTGGTTCCGCTCCCTCCCGGGCGTTGCGGGCAGCGCCTGCGTGGCCACAACGCAGTGGAAAGTAGTGGTGGTAGTGGTAGTGGTAATGCTAGTGGTAGTGGTAGTGGTAGTTGTCGTCGTTGTGGTAGTGGTAGTGGCAGTGGCAGTGGCAGTGGTAGTGGTAGTGGTAGTGGTAGTGGTAGTGGTAGTGGTAGTGGTAGTGGTAGTGGTAGTGGTAGTGGTAGTGGTAGTGGTAGTGGTAGTGGTAGTGGTAGTGGTAGTGGTAGTGGTAGTGGTAGTGGTAGTGGTAGTGGTAGTGGTAGTGGTAGTGGTAGTGGTAGTGGTAGTGGTAGTGGTAGTGGTAGTGGTAGTGGTAGTGGTAGTAGTAGTAGTAGTGGTAGTGGTAGTGGTAGTGGTAGTGGTAGTGGCAGTGGTAGTGGTAGTGGTAGTGGTAGTGGCAGTGGTAGTGGCAGTGGTAGTGGTAGTGGTAGTGGTAGTGGTAGTGGTAGTGGTAGTGGTAGTGGTAGTGGTAGTGGTAGTGGTAGTGGTAGTAGTAGGGGTAGGGGTCAAGCTAGCCAGTCGAGCGAGTCAAGCCCCCCTCCCACAACAGTGGCTGCGCGGGCATTTCAGTGTCGCAGGTCCCAGAGCGCTGACTTCCAGGTCCCAGAGCGCCCCAGGAACGCCCCAAGAGAGCCGAGACGCCCCCGAGACGATTCGAGGGGCCTTGAGTCGCCGAATGATCGATCCAAAACGCCCAAGATGGCCTCCAGACGGCCGCAAGCGCCGCCAAGAAACCGCGGGGAGCCTCAGGAGGCCCTCCAAGAGCCTGGACAAGCAAAAACCTCCCAGGCATTCGTCACCCCAGGGCCTCCTGGAACGCCCAGGCGCCCAATGAATTGGCGAGCTAAACACGTGCGCCGAGCCAAAGCGGGAGCGCAACTTTGAGAAAATTTCGCTCGGCGCCCAAGCGGGAAGGTCATTTCATTCACTTCGAGCGGGGGGGGGGGTGCCGCGCCCAAGTCTTGCCATGCACTTTTGCCGGGTGGGAGACAAGAACAGCTATGTGGGCAGGGAAAATCAACATGGCATTGGTTCTGACAAATAAGATGGCCACTCCCGCCTTGGGGTTGCCCTAAAAGTCCGCGCGCGATGTGCGCCGCGCCCCATTCCTGCCACGCATTTCGCATCGAAACAGCAACTCTGTATTGTTTTTTACAGTCAGGATGGGAGGGCCCGCGGCCTGCATGGACGTCCGCGCGCGATGTGCGCCGCGCCCCATTCCTGCCACATTTCGCACCGTCGACGACAAGGCAGGCCATGCTGAGAGGAAAAAACGGAAACTTCGTTTTGATATTTTACAGCCAGGATGGGCGGGCCCGGATTGACAGCCGCGCGCGATGTGCGCCGCGTCCCATATGTGCGCCGCGTCCCACTGCTGCCACATATTTCCCACCGTCGGCGACAAGACAGGGCATGCTGAGAGGAAAAAACGAAGGCTTCGTATTGATGTTTTACAGTCAGGATGGGCGGGCCCAGATTGACTGCCGCGCGCGATGTGCGCCGCGTCCCGTTCCTGCCACGCTTTTTTCGCATCGTCGACGACAAGAAAGACGATGTTGAGAAGTAAAACGGCAACTTTGTATTGATTTCTTACAGTCCGGATGGGAGGTCCCGGATTGGGCCCCTATCGGCCGGAATACGAGGGAGGTGGGGGTATATTCTAATAAGGAA